TTTTGCTCAGTAGCAATTGAGGATAAATGGTTGCAATGTTTGGGATCACTAGGTTTTTAGAGAATCTGTGTCTAGCCGTGCTATTTGAAAAGACTGACCATTGAAATACATTTCAACCAAATACAAACCATGAATGTCAGCTGGGTATTGTATCCTTAAGCCTAAGTGAGTCCAAATAGAGTCTTGTAGCTTTTATGATTATAAACAAGAGCAAAGATCAAGTAGAAAGTGCTGAAATCAAATTGGAAGTCACAGCTAACAATCACATCAGGGAGTATTCAGGACTACTGTTCCCTCTAAACTGACGTGGCTTCTAATAATTCATAATTTAATAGAGAGTAATATCTTGTCAGTTATAATCCACTGCTCCACTGTGTCCAGACATTAAGAGGATATTTAAAAAATGTGTCAGATTATAGAGGCAGAGTTTGATTGTTTGCTGAATAGAGGCCCCTGCAGAAAACAGCCTATTTCTTTTAAAACGTTGTTCTCATTACAGTGACTGATGAGGAAACATCCCAAAGTAAACACATGTCCATTTGGCTGAAGGATCCCTGCTGTTGTTCTTCTAAACAACCCCACCTCCCCCCTCTTGTCTTCTATTTCCCAGTGCATTGTGGGATGACAAATAAACAAGTCCAGGCAGAGGAGGAGTCCAATGTTCAGCCTCCACAACAGGGATCTGTGGCAGAGTGTTTCTCAAAGCCAGCTGAAGCACCAGAGCTGAGTCACTCGGACTGTGAATCAAGCCGCACACTCAGAAAGACAACATGTCATTCTGGACACATCTGTGTGTCCAGGCAACGTAACTCCATAATGCATCCATATATACTTTTACATACAGACAATTTGACACTGTTTGTTTCCTTTGAGGCAATCTGCTGGCAGTGGGAACAGGGAGTACTAAAACACAGGAAAGAAATAGTGAACATACTGTATATAGAAATACAAGAAAAATATGAAAAATGCCAAAGATAAGTTGAGTAAGTAAGATTATTTGAAGTAAGCAATAAGTGCGATCATCAAGTTTTAACAAGACAGCACCTCCCATGCTTCCCATAAATTTGACTGCTGCATCGTTATTATCCGGTCAAAAGCAATGTACCAACAGTGCATTAGCTGTAAGCTAGCTAGCAACAGACCATCTACTGTGTCTGTGTGTGTTCAGCTCAGCCGCTGACTGAACTCCAGTCTATCACCTTCTATGTAGCAGATTCACACATTAGCACACACATTAGCACACATTTTTCGCTCAGGTTGGAAAGTTTTTGCGTCAATTTGCATCACCTCAGGCGAATTGGCAGTTAATAGCGTCTTTGTCTTTGTGTGCAGTCACGCCACCGCTAAAATTCCCTTTGTGTTCTATCTGAGGTAGTCTACAGTTGTGCTAGCGGCTCTGTGAGCTAGCAGCTTTGTGAGGATATACTTAGGTACAGCTGTAAAAAAAGAAAAAAAAAAAAAAACTTAGGTACAGCTGTGCTTTGAGCTAAATGCTAACACTTATATGTCAACATGCTCGCTATGAAAATGCTAAAAGGTTTATTGTTAGTTTCCAACTATGTTCACCATCCTAGTTTAGCATGTTAGTATGCTAACATTTGCTCATTAGCACTAAACACAAACTACTGTTGTACTACTCTTATTATATGTCTATCTCATTATATGTATATATGTCCAACAGACATTGCCATCACTTGAGGCACCACACTAATATAGAATAAGAGCTTGAAGCATAAGAGGTAAGAAAGCTTTTCTAACAGGAAACACGTTGTAAAACTATGAAAAAATTAAAAACATTCAAATTCATGGAAAATATGCAAAAATACATAAAACACAATATAAAGGAAGGAGTAACATTACCAAAATACAACTGCGTGCATTCCTTATAGACAGTGAGAAGGAAATATAAAGACGGAAGTGATAAAAACACATGATGTGTTTACATACGGTAGGATGCTTACAGCAAGGACATTTGTATAGAAACAATTGACTTGTGAATATCTCAAACTAGGGCCCTATTAGATCTTATATGTGGATAATACCACAAACTTTATATTCCCAGTGCAGTGGCAGTCTGCCCTGCTGCTTCAGCACACTGTCACCATGGCAATCCCTGGGGAAAGGTCATGAGCCGCCTGGTTTGGATGTTTGAAGGTCTGCAGATTGGCTATTGATGCTGATGACACGAGACTCGCTGGCACATACTGGCCATCCTTCGGCTGGCTCATTTCCAAACTTTGCTCTTTCAGAGAATCATTTTCACAAAACTCCTCAGCTCCCTGGTTGCACAGTACAGCTTTGACTGTAGGATGATAGCCAATGTTTCTGAAACAATGCTGCTAATAGCTGACATTCCGTATCTTTAAATTTACATTTTTGTGTCAAAAAAGGTGAATATTGAAACTCTCCATTCAAACTCATCAAATTCTATTAGGTGAGTTATCAGCTCCTTGTGCTTCTCATGTGCAATTTCAGTTTGGCAATCCAGTCAGTGAAGAGCACTCCTAGTCCATTTAAAAACAGTCAAAAACATTACCCAAATTTTACAAGTGTTTGGTTAACAAGACACATCTGCCCACTTAGCACCTGCTCATTTATTTTTGTACAAAGTGCCCATTTCACTTCCATCTATAAAGCTGATATGTGAAAAAGCTTCATCTCAGATATTCACACGTTTGTTTACATTTATTCCATCATATGTAGAGTAATAATCTCTGGTAACAGATAAGTGTAGACACCTGTGGGAAAGCGACATCATTCAGGTTTTAAACCCAATGGTTGTTTTCATATGAAGGATGGGCAGAATTGACTAATCATGTGGATATTGAAAGAGGATCTAATTAACGTGTTATTGTGGACCTAAAGGATCTTCAGAAGGTATCAACATGTCTATATTGTGGAGAGAAACATTCAATAAAAAAAAACACAAGGCAGAAGAAATGGCAGAACTGGTTTGTACTCAAATATGCCAAAGTTTGTAGCACGATGCCAGTGGTGTACATATTGAGAAGCTTCTATTGTTCACACAAAATTGTGAGGACACAGCAGCATTGATGAAAATGGATTGGCTGGCAGAGGCTAATCCACGTCTCAAAACCAATTTGAAAGTGTTGGCAATTGAGGGACCATTCAACTGTATATAGTTAAATAGTACCAGAGCAATGTCATTCAACTGCCTTCTCTACCAGATTATTACTAAGCCCTCAGGAACACCACTGGGCTGTGTAGCAATGTTAGCATAGTGGCCATAGTTGGAATTGCAGGTCACATGACGCCCATTGGCCTGAATGTTTCTCAAACACAATCATTACAGAAGAAACAATTGTATACTGAATCTTGAAGAGCTGTCCCCATGAAACAGAATGCAGAGTGCTTTTTGCCTCCGCGTGTTTCCTGTAAAAACAGGCCGCTAGGGATATTGATTGGTGTTTACAGTTGCCAGGAGTGATCCAGTGAACACAGCTGGCAACGAGACATAGCAAGCCAGCAGTTAATTAGTGGTTAGCCACTTTAGCAAGTAGTTAAAGCTATCTGTCCATCAGGAAACTCTGTAAAAAGAGAGAGTTGAAGCTTGGCAGCCAGAGGACATATGAGGGAAACACAGAAATATGTTCTGCATAAAATGATCCAGTTAAACCAAACTAGTGAACAAAGTTATAAGGTTGTGCTCTTGTACACTAAACAGTGAGTTCCAGCTGTATGTTTTACATCAGCTCCCAGAAACACAAACACAAACACAACACAAAGGTGTTTCATTGGACGCAAAATTGAGTTCTCCTACCCATCTTTCCTTGACCTCAGAACGTTTTCCACAGAGGTCAAGGAAAAGTTAAGGAAAGGACGTAATTTTTTTGACTATTCGACCACAGCATAAGTTCTCTCCGTGGTCTGCTCGCGTGCACATGAATGACCCTTTATTCGGCAGGTGTTGATAATGCGGACTGTACCAATTGAGACTTTTGGATGGGGGAAGTCATAGGTTTTCTTTTTGTATTTTCTTGCCAACCTTAGTAAAATTAACTCTACCCTATGTAGGATGTTATAGTTATTGTACTTTTTAATGCCTTCATGGAAAGACTGATGTTACTAACATTCTTAATAGCTTTAATTGTCTGTTTAATTTTACCCTTGCTATTGAAGATGTAGTTTGACCTAAAAGTATTTAAAGCTATTGTTTGATTCATTTGGCCTTTTGTCTGTGAGAGGGGGACCCCCTTTATGTCAATGAGTTTCCTTTGTTCTTGTATTGACGTTTCATCTATAATTATGCTAAAAGAACAGTAAAAAAAGCAGAGCTCTAAATAAAGTTTCTGGACTGCACATTTTGGTTCTCCAAACCTCCCAGAACTGCTGGCTCACATCCTGATCAGCAGGGTTTGAAAGCCAAACATCAAGGAAGTGCAACAACAATATGTAGTAAGCCAGCTAATATTACGTAGTCCAGCAACGAGCAGGCCAGCTCGCCGTCTGTCTGCAGCCTTTTGTTTCACCAAGCTCTTGCCAATGACTAAAAGCCAATCCCACATTTACTCTTGTCCAACAGCTTCTCTCTCCTTCTCTCTTCTTAGCTTCCTCCATTGTCCTCTTACATCTATTCATCTCTGCCATTACCTATGCATTGCCTGCTCCAGTTCTGGCATGAGTGTAAACTCTAGAGATGAGCCAGTACACCACTATCTGTATTTGTATTGAATGGGCAGGGCTTAAATCTGAAGTGGGTGGTGCTTAAACCCAAAATTGACAGGTCCAACCGAAAGTAGTTAATTTAAGCCTGAAACTGATATGGGTGATTTGAAGTTACTATATGTATCAGAAAAATATTTATAGGATTTAGCTTGATAGATAGAAAAGGCGTACAGGGAGCCGAGTGGGAATAACAGAATAACATTCACCCTATGACAACTCAGTGTAGCATCAAAATGAGTTTGAAGCTGTTATTTTAAGGTAGAAAAGTTACATAATGGAAACCCCCTAAAAATCGTGTTTTTGCTCACTTGCAGTGTTTCAACTGAATCACATGAAACAAAGGCCTCTGGTCCCATCCAAACCACAGACATTGCAATCGTGGTCTGCGCCTCAGCCCATTCCAGCGCTACCTATTTTGTGAAGACATGTGGATAAACGTCAGTTCCTGGTCTGACCGGGCACTTAAGGTAAAATTATATAAGCCATTCAACACATATTTAAAAGATTCACATGCACAGATACCACCGTGTCCTGCGCACCATGGCAGCAGAACATAAAAATGTCAGATTCACACAAGCCAAACAGACAGTAATGAAGCAAAGGTCTGGTTGCACGTAATCAAAGCAGAGAAAATCAACTTGACTTCTAAACACACTCTGCTCACTGTTGTCATCCAACAGAGGCAGAACAGTCACCGCTCATTAGACATGCAGGTATCACACACAACCAAAATACGTACAAACAGGAGGGAGCGGGGTTTAATATTGATTGCAGTGAGGCGGATAAGTTTGAATGTTTACATTTATAAGCCCCGCATTACAAGCTGAAGCTATATGTTTGGCTTTGTTTTGTTAGTGTGCTGGAAGCTGGATGAAGGTTATGCAAATTAACTGAAAAAAAAATAATTAAAACACCATCAAAATTACATAAAATAATACTTTTTGCTATATGACAGAGGTTCGCATAGGAAACGCAGTAACAGAATCTGGATCCATATCTGATCAGCACTCCTTAGTTTGACAGTTTGATCTGAGTTTGGTACGTTGAGCTGGATAGACTAACTAAGAATGACCTGTCAATCATAAGGTAGCCACACCCTAAAGCATACCCTGCTTTATCATCTATTCTACTTTAAATGGGGACCCCCCATCCAATCCATTACTAAATGGAACTATCATGGCATATGGAAAGAAGCACTGGAACTGAGAAGATTCGGAGACCATAAGCCAAACTCATTAGGACACACTGTTTACTGAGCTCATACATCAAGTCAGATGTTGTCTCATTTATCCATAACACTGCATGCTATTTTCTTTTTTGTTTGAAAATCTGACATTTCGTAACGTATTGCATTCATCACATGAGGTATGGGCTAGGTCCGGATTGACTTGCCATTCAGCCTAATAAATATGTGTCAGTTTTTCCAGACTTGTGATTTCTGTTTATCATAGCAAATGCAATTGAATTCACCAGCCATTATGCCAGTGGTAAAGCTAAGTGCAGGTCATTGCCAAGTAATTTATTATAATTATTTGAACTATGCTACCTTGAATGCTTTTTTTGTTTTGTTTGACTGTTCATTCTTGATCTTGACACAGAATGTTACACATCCTCTTAATCTCTGGTTCTAGATGTTTTGATGATTAAACGGTCTTCATCAGCAGATTGAGTTTGCTCCTAAAAAAATGTTTTTTTTAGATTCTTGATAATAGTCCACAAAACAAAGCTGTAATCATGGTCAGGTGTTTATCTTGGGTGCTATGTCACAAGCTGTTTGTCATGGTTTGGTATTGTTTATGCTGTCACCTGATCTTACTGTTGTAAGTGTCAGCTGGTTGTGACGGTCATGTGACATTATAAACATTATATACACTGTTAAATCTTAAACAATTTGTGTATTTTATAAACGTATCATAGGACTACCCTTTTTACATAGATAATTCATTCGTTCATTAATCTGAAAAGAAACTAGTAACAATAGCTGTTACAATAGCATGTAGTGGAGCAAAAAGTACAGTATTTCCCTCTGAAACGTAGTGGATTAGAAGTATTAAGTAGCATAAAAGAGGAATATTCAAGTACCTCAAAATTCCATTGCCAGTCTTAACTGTACCTTATGCCTAGTGCTCAGTAGCTAATGTTAGCATGCTAACAGGTTAAACTAACATGGTAAACATATCTGCAATATATATCTGAATCTGAATGTTAGCAGTCAGTGTGAGTATATAAAAAAAAAAATTGACTGTATATAAAGATGGATGACTAGACAACTCCCCAAGAGTGAAGGCAAAACATCCCGCTCGCCCCCTGATGGCTGGCTGCAGTACAGGTCATAAACCCCGCCCCCTTCATGTTAGCAGTGTACAGTGGGAGGTAGTGGAGACATATCATCCATCTTTATGTCAATGTGTGAGAGGATGTTAGCATACTGACATTAGCATTTAGCTCAAAGCATCGCTTAAGTACAGCCTCCCAGAGGTGCTAGCATGGCTGTAGAGTGTTAATATGCTCCAAAAACAGTACTTGTTTTATGATCCAACAGCATCTGAAAGCCCGTCCCAACACAACTTTCTGACGTCGGAAGTGGAGAGGCTGCGTCCGACAATGTTAGCCAGCTTGTCACCTTTCAAGTGTGACCGTTTGGTCTAATGTTAGATGACACATGAGAGTAATTATGCAAAAAGCTGACAATTACAATATCCAGTAATTTTGAAAAATGGAGGGACGTATCCCTACGCCCTGGACCCCGTAAACATTAGCCTTTGTATCCATTGCTAGCTAAATATTCAGAACACATGAAGTAATATTTCCTACCTTCACTGGCATACACATGATGTGAAATGTAATATGATTTATAGCATTTTACCACTTTTTTTTTTCCATATTCCAGGTTTTTTATTATACCTGTTTTTCCCATAAGTCAAGTTGATGCACGGGTCTGCAGGGCAAAGTGAATATGCAGCGGTGCTCACATTCACACATCAAATTGGTTTTTATACGTTCCAGGCTTTGCATTGGGTATATTTGCCCATGTTTTTACAGCGATGGTTACTCAGTGTTCATTCACATTTAGCTATTAGGTTTTCAGACACACATACATGCACATACACACACAACTGCTAGTCTACAGCTACAAAACAACAGCAACGAAGAAAGAAACATTGTTTCTCACCAGGCAGATAGCTTGCAAATAAACTTCTTTCATCACGCACTAGTTAGGTTATGTTTCTACAAGGGTTAAATAGCAAATCATTAAGAAGGAGATGCACGCTGTTTGATTAATTGCTTTCCACAGCAATGAAATGTCTTGATTATCCACAGGCAGCGTTCCTGCTCGCTGTTTGTGTTATGACCCACTTCTACCTCCAATTTCAAAACACTTAGGCAATGTAGGGCAGCAGTTATGCAGCTCCAAACCACTCAGTCAGCCAAACAATGACACACAGTAACACTGTGTAGTCGGGCAGTATTTTATCTAAGCAGAATGATTTGTTCCAGCAGGTACTGAGCCTGCAGGGACTAAAACAGATGGAGATTCAGAGAGGCGACAGTTGCTGTGGAGTTATCAGAGCAACGTTTGGCAGAGTGAAGGTGATAGAGACCAGAAGTCAGACAGGAAAAAAGACAAAAATCTTTACATTGTATAAACTGGCTAGTGCGTGAACTGAAATACAATGGTGTGTTGTTGTGGAGAAATGGCTGCTGTAAGCCCTGTTCAATATTATGTGTGAAACAGGATAATATTAAGTTTAGTCCAACTAAAATTAAATTGCATTTTTAATTCAAGTGTAACTAAACCCCTAAATTCTGCTAGCTCCCTCCCAGCAAATTTAAAAAATGCAGCAGAGAGAATCATACATTGTGGATACAGAGTGTGTGACGCGGGAGCTAACACCGTCCAGAGTAACACCGTC